ATAATAAATAAAATAAAATAAAATAAAATAAAATAAATACAGGCCATAATTCAAATGTTGTAATTGTAGTTCTCTCTGAAGTGAATGAATTTTTTCCACTCATCCTGGAATTCTCACAGTTGCTATCTGAGAAGAAAGCCTTAGAATCTGGCTAAACTGGGAATTTTGGTAGGATGCCTATTGGCACTTTCACTAAATGTACAAGGGTGAAAGACTTCCTAGGATTCACCTGCCTTCATAGAGAATTACCCAGCCCCTTCAACTATTCTTTTGTCTTACTTTTAGTGATCAAACAGGCTATAACACAGACCCTGGATAATATAAATACATAGTATCACTCTTTATTTAGCCCTGCCCAAAGCATTATGTATCCAATGTATTCATTATTAAAACCACATATTTGGCCAGGTACAGTGGCTCACACCTGTAATCCCAGCACTTAGGGACGCCAAGGAGGGTAGATCACGAGGTCAGGAGTTCGAGACCAGCCTGTTCAACATAGTGAAACCCCATTTCTACTAAAAATACAAAAAGTAGCTGGGCATGTGACACATGCTTGTAATCCCAGCTACTCAGGAGGCTGAGTCAGGAGAATTGCTTAAGCCAGGGAGGCAAAGGTTGCAGTGAGCCCAGATCATTCCACTGCACTCCAGCCTGGGAGACAGAGTGAGACTCCATCTCAAACAAATAAACAAAAAACAGACAAAAAATTCCATATCTTTGATCCCACTTATTCCATCAGAATTCCTACAAAGTTCATAATTTATTATACTAAAATGAACATATATGTATACTTTTACTGGTGTTAACATTTGTTTTTGTATATATTAATTTTACTTCTATAAATAAGCTACAAGGAATAGGGGTCATACTTTATATATTTTTTTATATTTCTTTGCTGTGGAAAATTTTGGGATGTAATATAGATCCTCTCCTGAATAAAATTAGTTACATGATAAGAAAAAAAGTCTCCAAATATCTAGTGGGTAAGAATAAAAGGTAAACTTAGCTTAGACTTTTTTTGTGATTTAAAAATTTTTTGTGGAATATAAGAAGGATCCAATTGAAACCAATCCTTTCTTTTCTATTTTTTTGAGATGGATTCTTGCCCTGTCACCCAGGCTGGAGTGTAGTGGCATGATCTTGGCTCACTGCAACCTCCACCTCCCAGGTTCAAGCAATTCTCCTGCCTCAGCCTCTGGAGTAGCTGGGACTACAGGCTTGCACCACCACGCGTGGTTAATTTTTGTATTTTTAGTAGAGATGGGGTTTCATTATATTGGCCAGGTTGGTCTCGAACTCCTGACCTTGTGATCAACCTGTCGCGGCCTCCCTAAGTGCTGGGATTACAGGCATGAGCCATCGTGCCCAGCCTGAAACTAACCCTTTCATTTTTTTTTTTTAATAGAGAGGGTTTTGCCATGTTGCTCAGGCATGTCTCTAACCCTCCGGGCTCAAGTGATCTTCCTGCTTTGACACTGCACAGTGCTGGATTTCAGGCGTGAGCCACCACACCTGGCCATAATTCTTGAAATTATGATATTAGAGGGTGTAGAGGCTGTATTATTTCATTCTCTCATTGCTATAAAGAAATAGCTGAGACTGGGTAATTTATAAAGAAAAGAGGTTTGGCTGGGTGCAGTGGTGCATGCCTATTATCCCAGTACCTTGGGAGACTGAGGCAGGCAGATCACCTGAGGTCAGGAGTTTGAGATCAACCTGGCCAAAATGGTGAAACTCCGTCTCTACTAAAAATACAAAAATTAGCCAGGTATGGTGGCACACACCTGTAATCCCAGCTACTCCGGAGGCTGAGACAGTAGAATCGCTTAAACCCAGGAGGCAGAGGTTGCACTGAGCTGAGGTCAAGCCACTACACTCCAGCCTTGGCAACAGAGCATAACTCTGTCTCAGAAAAAAAAAAAAAAAGAGCAGAAAAAGAAAAGAGGTTTAATTGGCTCATGGTTCCGTGGGCTGTACAGGAAGCATGACAGGATCTTCTTCTGGGGAGGCCTCAGGAAACTTACAATTATGGCAGAAGGCAAAGGGAAGCAATCCATCTTACATGGCAGGAGGAACAGGGAGTCGGGGGAGGTGCTACACACTTTTAAAAAACCAGCTCTCCTGAGAGCTCTATCAGGAGAACAGTACCAAAGAGAGGGTGCTAAACTGTTCATGAAGGCTCTAACCCCACAATCTGATCACCTCCCACCAGGACCCACCTCCACCATTGGGGATTACAATTGAACAAGAGATTTGGGTGGGGACATAGATACAAACCATATCAGAGGCGTAGGCGTACATGTAAGGAAAGATAAATAGCAGAATGTGACCTTACAATTTAAAGTCATGTTAAAATTTAGAGCATGTTAAAATCTGCTAACCATTTTTGTTGCTTGGATGTTTTTTTCTAAAAATCAGCCTTTTCTTTCGAGGTCCCTTTATCCATTTCTTCAAATTGTATATCAAAAATTTTAGTCAGAGAGATGCTAATTACTCAAGATGACTCAGAAAGTTCACATGCAGATTTGGGACTACAGCCCAAAAGGCAGTCCCTGCCATGTATTTTTAGCAGTGACACTTTCCTGAAATGCTGGTTATAGGTAATAGACATTACCCATTTATTTTTCTTACACTACCATAGCAAATAAGTTTATTTATAACACAAAAATGCCAGAAAAATTATGCTGAAATATTTTAATATAAGACAATTCTGAATTTCTGAAGTATTACCTTGAGGCACTTTCTCGATAGCTACTATTATCCCTTCCACAGTAACTGTTACTTGCGTTACTCTCAATATATACAGTAATACACTTTTAAGACCTACTGTGTTTACTGAATTATGTTTTTAAAACAGAATAATGAAAAAATTCACATAAGAATCATCATAGGGAATGATATCCATTATAATGACTTTTTCCTTCAATAAATAACCTATTATTAATATATAGTCTTCAGAGGATATCATCACTTCTACGTTGCCAACTTTTGTCCCTTTAAATGACTGTAATAGTAAAATTTACTGTTGACTAATATAATGTAAAAATTATAATAGTATGGTTAATTTTAAAAAGACCTAACTTCAGTTTAGGTCATACATCTTAGTCTAATTAATAGTTTTTAAGTGGCTCCATGGATAACTCATTTAAACTTTAAAATGTCATTTTCCACATTTTAGTTATTAAAATAAAAATATAACTATAATAAATGATAGCATTTGTAATTAATACCTAAATTAAATATAATAAATGATATCTCTTTATGTTAAAATATCAATTTCACATATTTTCATGTTTAATATTACCTTTGGAAATAGAAGAGTGATATATCACTATATAAATGTAAATAGGATAGTGACTGATTACATTTTGAAGGTGAGAAAACAAGGTCAGAGATTAGTTAATGACCAATTTTGGATAGAACTCATTTGTTCCAGGGCTGTAGAGGCCATACCTAGGTGTTATTCTTTTCTCTAATTTGTTACCTCACTCCTGAAAGAAAACTAGGTGATGGTAGAATTGAGAAATATGTTTTTGCTAATGGAGGAGAGGAAATCCCACGACTTAACACCATGGTTATGCTTCTTAGAAAAGAAAGATGAATGTGAGTAGCAACATGGTCTATTGGCAAATCTACTGGGCAGCTGAAGTCATTAGCCCTATATAGACTCATTAAGCCTAACGGTGATCATAATCATCCATTTGTGATTTGGAAGAACCGTGCCTCCATGCCCCTGAAAGGCTTTTTGTTTTGTAGGTTCCTTTTTATTCTGCTTCCTGAAACTTTATGCCAATTGATGTTTGCATGTTTCTGAAATGGTGACAAGCCTTGTAATTGATTCTCCAACTACGCTGTGCTGTGCGCCGAGCTGGCAGGCACCCCTCTTTCAGGTCACTTTACACGTCACACTACCTAGAGCAATCCAGGAACCCATTCAAAGGGCAATGGGATGGCAATTATTTTCTTTCCTGGCATTTACATGAAGGCACAGGAGAGAGGCTGATAAAACAGAATTGAGAGTTGGGCTCCCCTAATAATTCCTATAACTTCCAAGTTTGTGGACAATGGAAGAATTGAGAATCTGAAGCAAGTAAGGTGAGGAGGTTGAAAAATAGAGATTTAGTCAAGCAATCCGTAACGTGAGGAGATCAAAAAATAGGGCTTTAGTGAAATCAGCAAATTCAGTGCTTACTAGGTACCAGGCAATATTTTAAGCATTTTACATCTACTAATTTGTTTCTGCTGTGCCACAGCTCTTGAAAGTAGGTATAACAATTTCTCCCACTTTGCAAATAAGACATGTGGAGCCCACAGCCACATAGCTCGTAAATGAGAGAATCACACTCTGAATTTAGGTTGGCTCTGAAGGCTAGGCTTTTAATCATTTTGCTATAGGTAGAATTAAAGATTCTGTATGAGTTCACTTTAATATAGAATTCATAGCTTCTAGGAATGTATAATTACTTAGTAATAACCAGGAAAGAAAATGATGGCCATGATTCAGAGAAACAGAAATATGAGGCCATCCTCTCTAAACCCCTTCATCCCATACTTCCTCATCTAATACCACCACAGGATATTTTGCACCTCATCCTGCTTCTACAAAGGAATGCATCCCAATCATTTCTGGCTTCATTTATGAAAATAGCAACTTTAATTGATCTCTACTTGCCTATTTGATTTGTGATATCCAAGAATACTCCAAGGAAGAAAAATGCCTAAGATCACAAGCATAATTTTGTAAGAAATCTAGGTAGGTAGTCTTAAGCAACATGTAATAGATAACCTGACTCATGGAGAGAGGGAAGCCATACATGCAGTTTCTTCTTCCCTTATCTTCACCCAGGATCATGATTTTATCTTCTACATTTAATAAAAGATCATCCAGTATCAGAACTTAGAAAACCACCAAGAGAAAAAGCAAACACATTTATGCAGTGCTTGAATGCATACCATAATTGAAGCTATTATGTCATATTTTGTAATTAATCATTTACCTTATGAGTCTACGTAGGCTCCATTCTCTTCAGAACCGTTTGTGAAGTTTAGAGTAAGTGGTCTGTTACCTAGAAGGAAGACAAACAAATCCACAGTTCAAATTCGGCATGAAAATAATATCAGTGAAATTGAAAATGCATTAGCATGTGCATTAATTTTTTTAATATTAGATTCAAATGGTGAAGGCATTTACCAATTTGGAGATACAGAGAGAACAGAATTTAGGTGAGATGGATATTAGCGTTTGTGTCCCTGTGTTTTAAGTATCAGCTCAGACAAGTGCAAAAAGATCTGAAATGATTCCTGGAACTAAACAATGTGACTGAATCCAGCGGGGAGGAGAAGGCTGCCACTCACCTGGGGAGACGGGTTAATAAAGAGATCAATTGTACTCTTATCTTGTTAGTCATTAGACAGCCCATTGATGCCACCTGCTTACTTTAAATATAAACGTGCAGGCCAACCATTGGAAAGCTGCCACCGTTCTTTGGAGCCCTGTTTCTTTCTGGTTTAGTCATAGGAGGGAAAAGGCCAAATTCTGACCCTTAGGAACTGAGCATCTGTTCCTCCAGCAAACGCAGATGTGAGGGCAAATCAGAAGGCAAGTCTTTATAGGCAGATAAATGAATATACCAAAATATGAGTAGTTTATAGAGTTAATATGAACACAAACTGCAGAAACATTTTACATGTAAAAACGTAAAATGGCTCAGGGGATTTACTCTCCTGTTAGGTAATTATATCCCTGAGATCTGAAGTGGCCGTATATTAAATATACTTTTTGTTTGTTTGCTTTACTGGTCTTTGTGAACCACCGACTCTTTTTCAGTAGTTGATTATTCTTTCCCAAATCATAAGGAAAGGTTTACCTGTCTTGGATTAGTATCAGTTGCCAGTGATTAAAAGTTCAAAAGCAAATGTTACACATTTCCTAAAGCAAAGTAAATGCCTGCTCACCACTGGTTAAAAAAAAAAAAAAAAAAAAGAAAAAAAGGATTATTATATACTGGCAATAGAATCTCCTCTGCAGCAGCTATTTCCACTTCTCCCAGCTTCTGCAAACTCCAGTGACAAGTGGGTCTCTGGACCTTTTCTTGTCCTCTGGCACTACTTGCCTGGGCATCAGAGAGATGCCTGAGAGGAGCACTCCATATCACCCCACTTTTGTAGTAGATACTCATTTTTTCTTTTGACAAAATGAGTATATTATCTCTTGTATTTTTATGGTGTACATATTTATTGTTACTAGTCAGGCAGGAGTATCTATCTGCTTTGAGCAATCCTATTCCAGTAAAAAATATTTTGCAAGCAATAAAATACTAACAGTGTAGGAATGGTGAGATGCAGCAGTCAGTTACAATTTCTCAAAGCAGTGACATGGTAAAGCCAACTTGTGGCATGTTGACTAATTACTACTCTCCTACTCATTGTACTAGGTCAAATGCTTGTATGTAAGTTTCAAATTCTTAAAATGTATTCCTAACTAAGCAGTGTGTAAGTGGGTGGATTTCTATCAAGTGGGTCTTAAACCAGAATAAGAAAATCAGGTACTGCCTCTGAAGAAAAATGGGAATAAGGTTAATCAAGATATGACTACCTATTTAAAATATCTCCCAGTGATTTTTTTTCTTTAATGGAGTTTCACTCTTGTCATCCAGGCTGAAGTGTAATGGCGCAATCTTGGCTCACGGCAACCTCCGCCTCCCAGGTTCAAGCGATTCTCCTGCCCCAGCCTCCCGGTAGCTGGGATTACAGGTGCCTGCCACCACGCCTGGCTAATTTTTTGTATTTTTAGTAGAGATGAGGGGTTCAGCATGTTGGTCAGGCTGGTCTTGAACTCTTGACCTCAGATGATCCACCCACCTCAGCTTCCCAAAGTTCTGGAATAACAGACATGAGCCATCATGCCTGGCTACATTCAGTGAACTTTTAAACAACGGAATTCCCAGATGGGCTAAACCATTTATGCATTTTAGAGTACAGATTAGTTATTAGTTGTTTCTTGAATTTAAAGAGTTTGTAAAGAATATGGATTTCTTACACTTGGTTACATGTTTAAATTACTAGTAAGAGGGCGAGAGAGTAAGTTTTTGGAAACCACTCATTTTTAGTTTGTCAGCATAGTGTAAGTTTGACATCAATTGAAACAGGGTAAAAAACTGCCTTGTGAATGCAAGGGATAGCCTTTGCTATCTTTCAGATTGGTGAGTGAGGCTGTAAAACCTGGCCTTAAAATGGTAGCTGAGAAATGGACCTACTTTATTCTACAATGTGACCTTTCTGTGCTACTCTCCTGAGGGCTCATGGATAGGTCCTTGCTCTTGGCAAACCAGCATCAAAATGGCAGTTCTTGGATGTAGTCCAAAGCAAATCTAATACAGAATTTTGCTTCCAAGTACCATGTTTTATCGTGAGGGTCCAACATAACTTTAAAGGTTCTATGACAGGTAACAAAGGAAAATTTCCTAGATAAACTCATTTAGGCTTCACACCGCTCTTGGTTAATTAAGCACATTTACAGATGGGGATAAAATCTTAGGCCATGGTTGAAAATGCTCAAAAGTAAATGCTACTTTATTTACTTTATAAATAAAGTAGCCCTTCAGTTGTTTTCTTGCCAATTTCTTTATTTCATGGTTAGGTAATAGATGGAATATTAACATTTCAAATAAATGGTGAACATTTTATTGTGTAATTTTGGGAAAGTGGGATATTTTCATTTGTAATGAAAAAGCTCATCTTTGCAATAGAAATTAACATTAGCTATCTAACTGTATCCATTTTAAGGAGACAAAGGTAATTAAATAACAGTTGATTTTTGAAGTTGTGATTATAGCTTTTGAACTGATAGCCAGACTTCTTTTTAAAAAGGACTTTATATTTGAAAATGAAGCATTCAAATAATTTTCAGTATTTTCTAGAAAGCTTAGATACATACTGTAAGGTTCAATGAATACCATATTGAATAATTCCAGCACTTTGGAAAGTTGAGGAGGGACGATTGCTGGAGCCCAGAAGTCAGAAACTAGCCTGGGAAACATAATGAAACTATGTCTCTATAAAAAATGTAAAAAAATTAACCAGGCATGGTAGTGTGCATCCGTAGTCCCAGCTACTGCTGAGGCTGAGGTGAGAAGATCACTTGAGCCCAGGAGGTCCTGCAGTGAGCTATGATTGCACCACTACATGACAGCCTGGGCAACACAATGACACCCTGCCTTAAAAAAAAATGGAATATTCTGAGTGGACTACAGCTTTCATAGAAGTAAATTTGTGCTCTTAATTGAGGCCTTGTATTCTGGGATAGGGATGTTAGACATTAGGTAATCAATTAGGAACACTGATGATGTTTGAGCAGAGAGTGAATTAACCAGAAATCCAATTTAGGTAGATGAAGTGTATGCACTATAGATCAAAACAAGGGCTGAAAATTGATTTATTCAATAATTAACCCAACAAATAAGTTTATCAATGTTTAAAATTTAATAGTACTATTTTCGGAGGCAATATGCCATGTTCATACTATAATAATAATAATGATAATAGTATTAAATTTACTAACTAGTACTAAGTAGTACTATTAGATGCCGAGGCTACAGAGGTGAACTAGTTGGTGAAAGTCTCTGATGTCATGGAGGGAAGACACAAATAAAACATCACACAAAACAGGGATTGAGAGAGGGAGAGAAAGAAACATGTGTTCGGAATGTCTAACTCTAGAAGGATGCTTCTTGTTATGTTTAAGCTTAGTCTAAAACTGTGAGGAAGATAGGAGGCTGTTGTTACAGCCCAGACAAGAAAGAGATTAATGAGAAACCAGGCTGGGCAGTAGCAGTGGGAATTCGAAGGAAGAAAAAGATGCAAGAGGTATTTCAGAGACAATCAATAGGAATTGGCAATTGCTGAGATGTGCAGTGAGGGAGAAGGAAGAGACACAGATAAATTAGAAACTTGGGGCCTCACTGAAGAAATTGGGTTGCTATTAACAGAAATATGGTTGTCAAAAGGAAGAACTAGTTTGATCGGGTAATGAATTTGGGTGTGGTGCATTGTGTTTGATGTGTCAAGAAGTCTCTCGCAAATGGCAGTTAAGTAGCTGGAACTGTAGGATTATAAATTAGGGGAGAAACTAGAAATTTTGGCGTCCTTCTAATGGATGGGATTGTTAAAATCTGTGGGATTGTCTAAATTCACCAAAGGTAAGGGAGCCTAAGAGTCTCCATACATGTGGAAATTCTGGGAAATGACATAATTAGGGGAAATCCCAACCAGAGTTAAGGCAAGTAGGAATAATGTCCAACAGTTCAGTGCTCATTCTACACAATCATCATGCACAGAGCATTTCACAGAGGCTAATTTACTGAACTTTCACAATATCTAGAAAGTAGTGATAGATGTTGGAGGCAGCCAAATGCCTAGGTAGACGGGGTGGTACCAGGTGAAACCCCACCGTCAAGCCGAAGGCAGTTTAAAGTCCAAAAGCCAAGCTACATGTTAAATCATCAGACTGCATTAAGAACTTGCCTTCCTGGTTGGTGTGCTTTCCTTTGATTTATCCCCACCCTTCACCTATTTTACATTATACCTACCCTTTCCTAATTGGTTTTCTATGCTGTTGTGCCCATTTTTGAGAGGTGTCTTCGCATTAGCCTTTTCTGCATACTCACAAACCAATCAGCATGCACTCCCCATCCTATGCCTTTAAAGACCACAGGCCCAGTTGGTAGAGAAGGAGATGGCCTGACTTTGGGGAAGAGACAGACTTTTTCAGTTATTTTCATTCTTCAACAAAATTCTCTGCCTTCCCCACCCTTCTATTGTCCATGTGACCTCATTCTTCTTGGACACTGGACAATAGCTCTGGACCCACTGAATGCGGGTACCCAGAAAGGCCGTCACACCAGCCCTTTGCCTTCACCAGCGGAGGGCAGCCACTTCACACGATGAGGCAAAGGGCCAACTGAGCTGCTAAAACACCACAGTCTGTGGATGGCGCAACTAAAGAAGCACTGTAAAACCTCCTCTGGGGCTTCAGAGTCATGGGCACCCTCACATGGACACTGCTGTA